TCATAAAGATGAAGTCACATGTTATTTGATCTGATACATTTGATGGATCAAAAGAAATGACAGAATTGCTCTGAAATGATGCCCCATAAAATATGTAACACAAAATATATAGAGAAAGGTAGGATTCTATTATATATGTTTGAGTTAATATTATTTTGTTATAAAAATAAAATTTTTGATTTTGGAAGTGCTTACATAAGAAACAGATAGAAATACTTCAAAAATGGTGAAAAAATTACAATGAACTCATCTCCACTAATTTCCCCAAATATATAATACTGAATCTCTATTCTTATTGATTTGAGATGATAGTGCTTTGTATTGTTGACCTCATTTTTTCTGCATCTTCCATTCTGCTGTTCAAATAGTTTCTTAGACAAAATAAATTCATAATAATTTATTATTATGACTTTTTAAAAACATGTCAAACAATGTAGAAAATGGCTATTTTTGCACTCTGTCTTATCTTTAAAAAATAGAGCTTATGTGAATAATTTCATGTGATAACAAACATAGGTTGCTTCCACAGAATAAAGGGAATGGAGATACTTCTAAGTAGTTGTAAGCCCGATGACCTTTGTGCATTCTACTCTTAGTCTGGAAGAGATAAATTTATTTGAAATGAAACAATAACAAATTCAGCATTTTGTACATATATAAATTATTCTTGATGTAGTGAAATAAGACAACATTTTCTACTAAAGAATACAGTACAAAATTATTTGCATCTTTTTGTAGGACAAGCTGCTACTGTGTCTTCAATCTTTATCCTTTATTCAGAACTACAGCCAAACTGACTTATAAAATACTTCCTCACTGCCAGTGGGTCCTTTTTTAATTTTAGGGAAGAGTCTATTGCCTGTTTACAGCCTCTCAAGAGCTAGGATTACAGATGCCTGCCACCACACCCAATCTCAATTTCTGTCTCCATGAGCCCTTGGGGCAGGACCAGTGCTGGCGTGGCAAGCCCAGGAATCAAACTCCTGGCCCCTGCCTTTAATGCGCTGAGCTATTTGGCCAACTCTGCCTTTGCCTTTTCTGACTTCTATACATCTATCTCTGAATTCCTGTTTGTGGCCCGTTATGAAATGCCATCATTTGTCGTCTACTTAGAAACCAAATCACTAACAGATTTTAGCAGTCACTAGCTTTGCTTAGGTTTTGAGTTGAATGTTGTCTTTTACTTGTAAATGGATTAACATCCATCCAACCCCAGGTTTTAAGGTAGCTTGTACATAATTCATCATTTTTTCTTATTTTTTGTTTGTATCACAAACCTTATCCTTGTAAATGAATATTTTTATCTCACTGAAAGCTAACAGTGCTCTCAACCCTGCCTATGATACCTGCTAATACGTTACTGATGTGCACATCAGATTTACCCAAAGACGTATGTGCTGGGAAGGCTTTCACCCATGCCACTGACCTTTTTCTTTCTTTCTCTAGCTTGCTGTAATTCATGTTTTAGTTTCCTTTCTTAACATATCACAGATTATACACTTGAGCACACATTTTAGCTGTTAAAAACCTGTTTTTCTTTAATTTAATGCAAAACTGACAAAGTAATCACAGATGTTTAATGAATTATTGCCAGTATGTGAGTCCTTATGGAGATATGCAAGTGAAGACAAAATATTTCAACAATTGTCATGAATGTTTGCTAATGAAGACAGCTTTTAAAAGATGAGTGGTTTCAAACTCATCTCATTTAAAAAAATACATATTCAGCTGAAGGAAACACAGTAGCATTCATATTCCAACAGTCTATTTTTTGTCAATAGATTATGCATGGCAAGCTAACTCTGCAGCCAACACTGAGAATATGCTCCTTTGGAGGTGCTCTTCCAGCCTTCTGTCTGCTGCAAACTTGCTTACACACATTCTAAACTTAATACTTAAAATTTTTACTTAAAGCACATAAAAGCTGTCAGTGGTAGAGTTAGCGTGCTCATGACTGCTGTTGCTGCAGCACATTTCCAATACAAAGACTTTCCTTCCAAGTGGCCCCTCTAGTAATTATTTTCTTTATTGAATAATTTTACCATCCTCAGCTGCTGCTATATAGGAATATGAAACTACTTACTGGAATGTTTTTAAGTGCATTTTTCACATCATGGTAGTATAAAGTTATCTGTTTCTCTTTGATTTTAAGGTATTTTGTAGCAATAATTACATTCTGGATGATTTATTACATCTACTATAGGAATTACTACTAATTCCTATGGTATAATTTCCCAGAGAAATTGGTCTAGCTTTTGAAGATCCAATATTATCTTATTATGGCGTTGCTTTTAATAAACATTTACATTGTATTCAAAGTATTTATACTTGACATAACTTAGGGTTTTCTCACAAATCTATATTTTGTAGTATATAGCCAGTTGAAGAACCTAAGAACAAAATTAGCATGATTATGCATTCAGAAATGAGGATTAATAAATTCAGAAACCAAGACAGTTAAATATGTCTGTTGCTACCAACTCAGCTATCAGTTTGGCTAGAACGTGCATGATAGCATCAACTGAGATGAAGCAATTCATAAAAATAGCTGTTTATATTTCAATGATGAGATCTTGGCTTGATAAAAATTTTAATTAAAATGCTATCTGATACTTCTTCCCCTTTCTATAAATATTCCTGATGTGCAACTCAGTCTTCTAAAAATGGACAAAATATATATGAAATGTCTGATCTTTTCCTTGTCAGTACAGGAGAAAACACAGGCTTTTAAACCTTGAGTGAAAGGACAAAGAGAGATGAACCTTAAAACCTTACTGGATTTCTTTACTAGATGCATTTTTTTCCCCAGACCACAGTTCAAGGAAGAAGAAGACAAGCAGAACTGAGTAATCCCTTTAAAGATGAGAAGCTGTGTTAGGATGAGACACTTGAAATTTTGTGGGGCAGAATACCAGTGGAGAGACAACTATAAAGCTCAGGAAATCAACATAGCAATGCTGATGAGTGTTTGGGTACTTACTTATCTATTTGTGCAAGAACCAGTGAATTTAGGAATCTAAGCAAGAAAAAAATCTCAGAGATAATTATAAAATAAATAATTCCTCCTAGTGATCACATAGGCCTGGGAAATACTTGCCTCCCTTTATCCATGTAATAGATTGACCCAAACAGTAAATATCAAACATTCAATGTCAAATACCCAATGCAATGTTACTATATGTACAGAAATTAGCAAATGTAGCCCATAACTAAGAAGGAAAACAGATCAATAGAAACTGATAAATAAGTAGCAGAGATGATGACATTTGTGGACAGAAATTAAAATAGCTATATCAAATGTAATAAAAATATGCAATGACCTAGAGAGAAGAAAATAATATAATTAGGAGAAAAAGACAATATAAAGAACATTTTCTCGTACAAAAATGTAACATTTGAAAGGAAAAATTTAGTAGATGCACGTAAGATAATGAAAGGCATTGAATAAACAGAAATGATAAATAATGTCAGAGAATTTAAAGGCTATTTGAATCAAAATATAGAAATAAAAGAGTGAAAAGAGAACACCCTTGTTCCTGGCTGTTTCAAAAAGGAATAAGGACAGAAAACATTTGGAGTAACACTGATAATCATTAGTAGTTCAGAAATGAAAATAAATATCAATAAATATCATGGATATGATTGCAGCAAGGAATCTGCTGATAAATTCTTGAAATCTAGGGACAGTAAATAAAAGTTGAAGCATATATGCTATTATGGCTTGTCTCTAGTTGTCCCTCCCAAAGCCTCACACAGTCATGGGGTAGCTTCTAGAGTTTGTGATTGATTCATAATCTAATGCTGGGCTTGTGGGTATGAGTGCTGAGCCTCCCTGGGGTAGATGATCTGCATTACAGTGTAAGGAGGGGAGAGAGGCTTGCTAGAAACCTCTGCTGCTGCTCCTCCCCTTGCTTTCACTGTTTATCTGCCACCAAGAGCTGCTGCTACCTGGCATGTGCCACTCTGTCTTGGAGCCATCCGAGTATGGACTGAAACCTCCACTAACTGTGAGCTAAATAAACTCTTCCTTCCTTAGCTTTGGGTGTCAGGTATTTTACCCTAGCGATGAGAGAAGAGTAACAGAGACAAATGATTATATGATCTGTCCTAATCACTTAAAAACAAATGTAGACACAGAGAAAAAAGAACACTCAGTGGTAATATGGGAGTGTGAGAGTTTATACTTAGATGTTGCCAAAAGTCTTATGTGTTCAGAGCTTGGACTTTTGAAGAGTAACTGGATTATGAGGTGGTACACTGGTGTGCTGTGAGGCAGTGTGGTCTTGTGGGAAGAGGCAGATCATGACCTGAAGGATTTCTCTCCCTTTCCATCTCCTCAGGCAACTCTCTCTGCTTCCTGACCACCATGCTGTGGACTCCTCTTGCACCATGCTCTTCTGCAGGGCTATCAATCTTGGAAGCAGCAGCTTATGGTTTGAAACTTGAGCCACAATAAATCTGTGCACCTTTAATTTGTGGATAATGGATATTGCACCTCACTAATAAGAAAGTGACTAAGACAAGGAGCAAAGTTGAGGGTATCTTCCCATTTCTCTTTAGAAAAAGATGTAGTCCAAGTGTTACTATGAATTGTGACTGTCACCTGGATTGGATTAAGAATTGCCTGGAGGATTAGTAAAGTACATTTCTTAGTCTGTCTGTGGAGTGGTTCCAGAGATGACTGGCCAGGGAGATAGTTCAATAGAATAAGTGCCTGCCTGGCAAGTGCAGGGTTTTGAGTCCAATCCCCAGTACCAAAACAAACAAACAACAAACACCCACAGATGACTGGCATTTAGGCCGGCAAATTGAGGGGGAGAAGACCTGCCCTGGTTGTGGTGATGCCATCCAATAAGCTTTCAGCTCAGATGAAATGGGCAGCAGGACAAGGGGGGACTGGACTTAAGTAGCTCCATGTTGGTTTAGGGGTGGTCTTTCATTACTTCCATCACCTGTGGCCATCAGACACCAACTTCTTCAGTGTTTTAATGTAGACTCACAGTAGCAGCTTCCCAGGGAGCTTCCAGATCTTCAGTCTCAGACTGAAGCTGCAGTGGGGAGCCCTCCTGCTTTTCAGCTTCCAGTTTCCTGACAGTGAAGTTCGTGCTGCTTCTGGCTCTCCAGTTGCACTCAGTCATGGTGCATTCTCCCACCTTTGATCCTGTGAGTGTATCTATCAATTTTCTTCACCTAAACCTCTGATTCTGTTCCTCTACAGAAACCTTCCCACATACCAAATAGTAGAGAAATATCTTGCAAGTGTGGAAAGAAAAAAAAGAAACAATTAGAATGTATCAAACTAGAACTTTTTACCTTTGAAATGGTGACAATTATTTCCATGTCAGGCCGAAAATTGGCAAAAACAAATTTATTAATAAAGCTGCCCTTTATACCCCTCCCGGGTTAGAGATCTTAAAGATCCATTTGGCATCCAAATGCAATTATGGATCAAAACCACAATTTGAATAAAATAAATGCAGAATATGCATGTTTTATACATAAACATGGAGAATCCAAAACCATTGAATTAGTGACCCTCCCCAAAAAAAGGATTAACAGATTTCAAATGTTTAACTTGGTGGATAAGATGTTTTGAGACCACAATGAACTTAAATAAATAGCAAAGATATTTGTAAAATCATGAAAATTTAGAAATCAATAGTGAAATTCTGTGCAAAACCAAAGTTAAGAAAATCATAAGGAAGGGCCAGCAAGATAGCTCAATGAACTGAGTGCTTTGGCAGGCACAAGGACAGGGTTCGATCTCTGGCACCACGTGCTGTGCCGGCACAGCCCCCAAGGCACTGAGCCGGCCACCAAGAACAGGCATGGTTGTGCATGCCTGTAATCCCAGAGCTGAGGTGGTTGGAAACAGGAAGATCACTATGAGTCCAAGCTGCGCAGTGAAACTCTGTACCAAGTACATTAAGAAAGGTAAAAGAAAGAAAGAAAGAAAGAAAGAAAGAAAGAAAGAAAGAAAGAAAGAAAGAATGTGTACACATACTTTTTGAACTACAGTAATCCCAATGTATCATAATTATTCATAGAAGCTAGATATGTGTTGTGAGAGAAGTTATTTTAGATGAGTATATTAAAAACTGAAAATTCTTTAAATGGAATGTAATCTCCAGTGTGGCAGAATGAGGACCTTCCTGAGACTGGGAAAGTGATGAAATTAGGTGTCCTTTGGAGGGCTGGATGCAAGGGGCCCCTTGCGCTTTCTCCTTCTGCTAGGCTAGGACACAACACTTCTAGAAGAGGCAGAGTCACTCTGAAAGCAGAAGCTGGACCCTGGTTAGACAACAAGTAGTGCAGTGCTTTGGCTTTTAACTTTTCAACTTGCAGCACTGTGAAAAAATTTCTTGTTTTGTAAGTAAATGGTCCATCCCATGATTTTTTTATAGGAATGCAAATGGGATTAAAACAAAAGCTTTGCAAAGAGTTCTGCCATAGAAGTTGGCGAGGAGTATAATTTAGGGCTTTATTTCACAGTCACCTTGACATAGAGGCCTATCCTCAGCATCCTGTAAGGATGAGATTCTGCTGAGAAACAGGTAGGTCAGTGGAAGCACTTCAGTGATGGAGAAGGGCAGTGATGTGTCCTGCAGATAATTAGACAAGTACTGGAGGCAGTGATGTGGAGGTCAGATAGCTGGGATCAGAAGCAGGATGGAGCCAAGAGAAAGGTGCATTGTATAGGTGTCAGGTGTCATTGAAGATATTAGAGACAAGAAATAAATATCTCCAATGCTCTTTGGCCAGATTTTGAAAAATATAGGTAAAGATGAGAAGAGAGGAAAAATTTATTTTTTCTATGTGCAAATATCTCATAGTCATACTCTATTTGATGATCTTACCTTGATGCATGATTATTCATACATAAAGGATCGTAAAAGATCAATGGCAACTAAGAGGTAAATGAAGACGACATGTGGGTAGAAAATTGTAATTCAATGAGAAAATTCTTTTCACTTCTTGGAAAAATAAGACTTTATGGAAGAGAGTTGGATTTCTCAGGACAACACTGAATATGTATATCTTAGAAGCAACTCTGAATAGAGGAAACAGTCTTTATTCCTTTCTGACACATCTGTTTGCAAAAAGAATATTGCTTAATAGTAAGCCACAGGGATGCAATGTGTGCAGCTGCAGGACTAGCATGCAACATTGAGCCACCTTTGAGTAAAATTCCTCAGCAAAAGCCTGTATCTTCTGAAGTCTCCTTTGTTTATGTAAAAGGAACACAAACAGTTCTCTAGCTGTGTGATTTTCCTTAAATGCTCTTTTAAGCTTGCTGGGTGTGTTAGCTATTAACATGGGTGTCTTTGAGCTCCTTAATTGATTTCTGGCTAAATTGACTGAAAGCCCTGGGTCTAGCCCAAGCTTGTGAAATGGCCACACTTATAACAAGCTGTTCAGTGTCACTGACCCAGTGTGGCAGTGGTTCTAAGGCAGCCCATTCATGTAAGATATGAGATTCAACTGAAAAGGAACTCTGACTCGAAGAGTGTCCATTGGTCTTCTCTAAGTTTTCATAAAATGTACAGTGGTCTAAGCCTGTTTACAAGATTCCTCTGTTGCTTTATATCTATCTAATGACTCTTTATTTTCCCTTTCTTCCTTCTCCATTTTCTCTCATGATCATTTTTTTTCTCGGTAAATCATTTCAATACCTACCTCGGCTGGCTTTTCTTTCTCAAGGGAACTGCACTAACCCAGGTTGTGCCCAATTGATTTGAGAAACCAGACAGTATGGTGAAGTCCTGGAACTCCCATACTTAAGCAGGCATTTGTAGTCCTAACTGATATATATATATATATATATATATATATATATATATATCATATATAAGTTATCTAATTGCTGAAAACTCAACTAGACATCCTCTGAGGAAATGCACCAATGAAAGGTGTCATGGCTGAAAGGTATGGAGGAAAAAAATCATACAAAGAACACACAGATATTTGGTTTGCACTCACATGTGTTAATGTCTTGACCCAGAATAACAAAATATTGAAAGCATTAAAAAGTAATCAAAGACCAATTGTCAGAATTGGGGGAAGGCTCTTTGGGAGTGTATAAGGAAGTCTATGTCTTTTACAGTATAATGGCTGCAATAATTGAGCAATAAATACAAGATTTGATAGAAATGAAAAACTTCAAAAAGGCTTAATATATCAGCCAACATAGGTGTCTGTTTTAAGTTCATGATCCTAAATGAGGAAACTGGAGATATGGGATATAGAAGTATGAATACGAATGGATGCTATTGAAGATTTTGGCTAGATCCCTGGAGGTCTTTTGCTCTAGAGGATGGAAAATAAACATGTTATGGAAAGCTGAGGACCTACTCTTTCAGCACATTTTATGAGTCTAATAGGCAGAAATATACCGGTATATCCTCTAAAGGAATGTATTGTTGAACACATAGATATACACACACAAATGAAATTACAGTCTCTCATTAATGTTGCACACACACATACACACATGCATACACACACACACACACACACACACACACACACAAAGGGAGCTACAGTCTCTTCTTAGCCTCTCTGGGTTTTGAGGGCAAAATATTTCACACACATGACCACTGTTCTAGTCCAGATATCACGCAATATACAATCTGGCCAATGTACAGTGGACTTAGGATAAGAAAGAGGTCTAACTGGGCCCTCAGTATGGCAGAACCAGCAGTCTCGGAGGTGTTAGTGGTGCATACAGATGCCGTCTGAGCTCAGGCTAAGTGTGCATGAACAATCACAGTCTAAGCCTCCAGCATTAGGAAGCAGGGCCACTGCGTCTTCAATGGAGCTTATAAACTGTAGAGAAATAGCGTTTTCCATGTCAGTGGAACCATATGGAAACCATGCTTGATTACTGAATAGCAAGTGACGGTGGATCTGGGACTTGTCATTACCAACTGAATTCTAACTGACCCACAGAATCGAAAGCTGGGGAGGTCAATAGTAGTCTATTGTAAGACAGAGATTATATATTTAATAAATTGAGCCCAGCACAAAAGTTGGCATGAGAAACCTTCAGAGCAGATCGTGCAGATCCACGTGCAAACCCTCAAAATTGCGCTGGACTTCCTGGACTTTTTATCTATGACTAGATGTAGGTTCTTTAGAAAACAAATGAAGAAGAAGTAAAAATAGGGTCACATTTGTTCACAGGCATAGAGTGAAAATAGCATCAGGGACCATCCATTCCTTTTGACACACAGTAAAAAGAAGAAAAAGGTTCTCCATGTTCTACACGAAAGTTGTGCACCTGCTCATTTGTGTTGTGGGGAGAGAAAAGAGCCTGAGATGAGGCTAAACACATGTCTATGAATAATCTGCTACATCCTGGCTGTCTGGTCTGCAGCTCAGAATGCAAAGGTCTGTGCAACAAGGTAAAGGGGTCTGAGTGGATGCTATTAAGTGTCATACTGTGTTAGAGAGAAGAATAACTCAAATATAATAGGATTCTGATGCCTGGAATTTAGGAATGCTGCCTTTTAAAGCAAAAGGGACTTTATAAGCCTGACTTAGTTTTAAAACTTTGAGGTCAGGTTATCTTGGGTTGCTTAGTGGTCTCTACATGTAATTCCAAATACTTTAATAAGAACAAAGTAGATTCACATGGTTTCAGAAGAAGTAGCCATGATGGGGAAAGAAGGCGCTGAGCTGCTAGCTTTGAAGACAGAGGAAGAGGTCATAAGAAAAGGCATGCAAGAAACTCAGAGGAGCTGGGAAAGGTAAGGAAATTATTTTTATAGTAGAGTTACCAGCCAGCTATGACAATTTGCTTTTAGCCTCATAATACTTTCAGACTTCAGATATGCAAAACTGTGAGAGAAAAAATTTGTCTTTTTATAAACTACCAACTGTTTGGTGGTTTTAGAGAAGCTTTAGTCCCAGTGTTTTGCTTATCAGAAAACATCTGTTATAGAAGAAATACTGAGTAACTGTCTTTGTTGTGTTTCTCTGATTGCTGAGACCAAATTCCTGACACCAAAAGTTAAAAGAGTAAAAGTTTATTTAGTTCACAAATTTGTAGAAGTTTCAGTCCATAATTCACTGGCTTCAGCCCAGCGTGGATAGCAGACAGGCCTCATGGAGGAGAAATGCTTCAGGCAGAAGGTAG